CTAGACATTGCTATTTTTATAACTCAAACTAATATAAATCATGGCTTGGTTTTTGGATTTTCATTCACGTGTTTCAAACTTTAAAAATGAAAACATTCCATAACCATGGATATGACATTTAACAGTTAGGTTTTTGAGCTCTCTGTCTGCTTGCTTGCAGATGCAATTTGATAAAATGCGCGGGATACTACTGTAAGCTAGAGCATATCCTGTGTTTTTGCTATTTCCAGATACAGCTTGTGAGAAAAATCTAGGGAGGGGAGACTATTAGGTAGATTTAGATTCTTGGAGTAGCTCTCTGGGTATTTTCCATGAATTGCAAGAAATTTTGATCAGTAGTTTAAAAAATAACAGCGGCAGGACAATTGCTGCATCTAATTTATATTTCAGAAACAGATATTTATCTTTTTGGTATATAGTAGTAGTAGTAGTAGAAAAATTGCTCCATCCAATTTATATTTCAGAAACAGATATTTATCTTTTTGGTATATAGTAGTAGTAGTAGTAGTAGTAGTAGTAGTAGTAATATGAAAGGGACCTTGGAGGTCATCTAGTCCAACCCCCTGCTCAGGCAGGAAACACTACACCATTTCGGACAAATGGCTGTCCAGTCTCTTCTTAAAAACCTCCAGTGTTGGAGCATTCACAGCTTCTGGAGGCAGGTTGTTCCTCTGGTTAATTGTTCTAACTGTCAGGAAGTTTCTCCTTAGTTCTGGGTTGCTTCTCTCTTTGATTAGTTTCCATCCGTTGCTTCTTGTCCTGCCTTCAGGCACAAGAGTAAAAGCTAGGGAATTCATTCAGATACTACCACAACATCCCTTAACCTGAACTTTTTTCAAAGCCATTCTATACTTTAACTATAAAGGTATATAGAATTATTCTTGCACCTGGAACTTGTTGATTTTGGGTTTCAAATATAAGATAACATAAATCCAGAAACCCTAAAATATTCCTACTCTGTACCCAAAGTAACTGTTTAGCTTTTGCTACATTTTAATAAATCCTTCTGTGTGCTCGATATGTATATGGCCCATTAAGAAACACATTTTCTTCCTGAAGAATTGGAAAGTTTCCTTGAACAAGCTTACTGAATATCTTACAGTGAAAGTTCTATTTGGAAAAGGTGATGGAAATTATTAAGAGTAAATCTACATGAACTTCTCTCTCTTTAAACACTATTGATGGTTTTATGGATAAGCAGGGTATGCAAATCCACAACAATCTCCATTTCTACCTAATAGTAACTGGAATTTTGAAATAAATCATGTATGTCAGAACATGGCTCATGTTCACCTACAATATTCCTTGGATTCAGACATCATGCTTAATTATAGACAACATATCCACCGTGCTGAAAGAATTGAAAACTGCAAGATAAAGTTTTATTAATGTTCAAGCAGCCAAAAGAGCAAAAATTGTTGTCCAGATGTACCCAGCAGGTTTTATTGAAGGAAAATATAGTATTTACAAGAGAGTTGAATTCTTCATTTACAGAGAATTTTTAAATAAGGCGAAGGGACATGTATGGCCCAGTGGCAACAGTTCATCTTCCTTTGATTAATTATCTGACTGTTTTCTTAGTCTGTATGCCAACCCTCTACCTGGTTTATTTATATGTTCAAAAAAAGTTGTTTTGTATATTTAAGTTTCTTTTCAATATCTGAAACAGTCAACAGAGAAATTTGTCGTTGCAATAATTTTAGTTGATTAAGTATGTTAGGATCTTCTGGTGAATTCTGGAGTTCCCTTTCCTTCATTTTAATTTTTTGTTTCCTTAATATTGTAATTAGAATTTCTCTGAATATTTGCCCCTCTTTTCCAGAAATGTTAAATTTCTGGTGATACTTTTTTCATCCATCTTTCTCTTAATTGCTGTATTGTATTGTATAAAATATCCTCATATCACAGCGTTACAAGCATCCCAAACTGTTGTCAAATTGGTTCCCTTATCTAAATTATTATTAAAATAGTCTTGAAGTACCTGATTACATTCTTTAACTATCTGTGGTTTCTGCCAAACAGACTCATTCAATCTCCATTTAAAAGACTGAGGACCAAATTTAAGATGTAAAGACACTGGATTATGGTCAGCAAAAGTTTTTGGAAGAATAATAGCTTTAGCTGCTTTGTAAAGCAGATGTTTTGTAATCCAAATCGTATCAATTCTAGAAAAGGATTTGTGTCTCTCTGAAAAGAAGGTAAAGTCTTTTGTTAGTCCATTTTTACATCTCCAAACATCAACCAAACCTAAAGTTTAGGTCAGCTCAAAAAAAAGTTTGGGGCAGTTTCCCTTGTGTTTCTTTAATTCCTTTATCAGTTGATCTATCCAATTGTGGGGTTACTATCCCATTGAAGTCTCCAATTACACACCAATAGTGAAAAGAATAGGAGAGTAAATGTTCAGACAGATGTTTAAAAAAACTTGGCTTTTTCTTGATGTGAGGCGCATAATCCCAAGACAATAGATTTTATTCTCTGTAATTCAATTTGCACAATTACATACCTGCATTGATCATCAGCAAACAATAAATGTGTATGTAGTTGGGGTTTTATATACAAAACTATCCCATTAATATTTTTTTTTTGAGTTAGCAGAAATAAGTTCCAGACCCAAGATTTGTTAAATATTTTTTATCAGTCTCTTTAATATGAGTTTCTTGCAAACATATCATGGTTCACTTTTTTCAATAGCGAAATAACTTTTTTCTCTTTTGTGGGGAATTTTCCCTATTGACATTTCAGGTCAAAATCTTACAATCCATCTACTACAAAGAGGAAATTCAGGGATTCCAGCTGAGGCTCCCATCACCACAGCCTGTGTAAAACCTCTTTTTATCCTTTTCTTTCTTATCTTTATCTTTTGAAAAATAGTGTAGTTCCAATCAATTTTTTCCCAAAAAAATCTTGTGGTTTAAGGACTGAATTTAGTCTATAGCAGTGATGGTGAACCTTTTAGAGACCGAGTGCCCAAATTGCAACCCAAAATCTACTTATGTATCATCGGGTGCCAAGTGGGCATGGCCCATTGGGTGGGTGTGACCCATTGGATGGGTGTGGCCCATTGGGTGGGCATGGCTGTCGTAACGGCAGACTGGGTGGGACTAAAAATTCAATCAATCAATTCCAAATTTGCGAGATCATTTTTTTCCCCGCAAGAAGTTGAAATTGATTGATTGATTGAACCTTTTTTTTGTACACAGCAGCGGAAGCCTAAAGCGAAAAGGTTTTATAAAACACAGCTGAAGGCCTAGGACTGGGGCGACAGTGCGCATGCCTACCTGTGGCATGCATGCCATAGGTTCGCCACCATGGGTCTATACCATTGATTTCTAAAGATAAAGATAACCCCTTCCAGCTTGTCCCAGCAAAAAGAAATATTATTTTGTTTCAGGAGATCTGTCAGGAAAAAATATTCTTTGGGTTTCCTTAATATTGTAACTGGAATTTCTCTGAATATTTGCCCCTCTTTTCCAGAAATGTTCAATCTCTGGTGGTAATGTTTCTGAATTACTTTCTCTTTTATAGATTGGATCATTGGCAGTTACCATAAATGCCGGCGTATAAGGCGACGTCCGCGAGCGCTGAAATCGGCGCCAAAGACGGGGGTCGTCTTATACGCTGAGTCGTCTTATATGCCGGAAATACTGGTAGTTTCCGGCGTATAAGACGACATTCTAGGAATGCGGCCCGGCTATAAAGACGGGGGTCGTCCTATACGCCGGGTCACCTTGTACGCCGGCATTTACGGTATCTTTTGTCTGCATGTGCTGAATTTATTCTGTAAATCTTGTCTAATTCGTAATCATTTGTGTTTTAATTGCATCACTTAAATTGCGAATTTGCTCAGGAATTCCTCTGAAGCACAGAAAAATTATCTTCTGTTTCAAATCCAATAACAGTTATGTTGGTTAAGAAAGTCTTGTGTCTGTGTCATCCATTCTAATCTGTAAATGTTTAACATCTTCTTTAGTTTTTTTAACTCTGATACTAATAAATCAAATTTTTTATCGGATTTTTCATTCATCTCTTTTATTGTGTCATATAGTATAGAAAGCCTTTTCTCAATTATTTCCATTAGGAGTTTGGTGCTGGGCTCTTCCAAGTCATGTTTTAATTTATTCAGTTCCTTCTTAAAAGGCATTTTTGCAAATATCCTCTCTTGTAACCAGTTCCTGGAGCAGAAAAGCAGGCAAGAATGCATTGTTCTCTTTTCAAGGTCAGATAAGCAGTTCCAAAAGCAAAACTAAGCAGAGAAATAGTGTTGGTATACAAACTCACAGAGTAGAGGGGAAAAAAAGTTTCTAAGCTTTTAACGTAGAAAGCTGCAAATTGAATGCAAGTGCATAAGAAATAGAATAAAGTTATAAAGTCTTTTCAAGTCAATACTGTATGTAGTCTTTTTAGTAGAAGTTCAGTATAGTTAAACCAGTAACTTATTTTCTCAGTAATTTGAAAAAAAAAAAAACCTTGTTGCCGTTTTGTCTTTTCCATACAGAAAAGACACTCCTTATTTCAATATACTCCAGGGTTATTAAATTGATTAGCATCAAGGAGGAGGGAAAGTATTTAAATTCCAGCACACAGCCAGCAATTAACATGAAAAAAGTAACAAGGAAAAAAAAACAGTGCAAAGCATGAAGTTAAAATAGAGGCATCTTTGGCAAACTTACTAGGGAGAAGAAATTCACTAAATATTCACACACACTCTCTCCCCCAGCCAAGGAATGCCATCCAAGAAGCTTCACCCCTTTTCTAATCCAGGAGTGAAGTAGCTTCTGTAGCTATCAAACCAGTCATTAGTCTAGCAGAACAAAGATACGTCCACATACTGGGTGGAGCCTACCTCTGATTAATTATGTTGAATTAAACTTGCTCTTCAGTGGACCAGTGACAGCTGCTCTTTCCATTATGTTTTTAATATTGTGTGTGTACTAGTAGTAATGTGTATTAAACCTAGTATAAGTGAATAAAAATAGATTTAAAAATATTCTTCTCTTTAGGTCTCAATTACCCATCAACCGTCGGGAAGAGGTGTGCCTTGTTTGAAATGCAGAGAAAAGTGTGCTGGTTTTGATCCACATTCTTGGAGGTAAAGATTTTTACTACTTTTGCTCTTATTTTCTGTTCTCATTTAGTTTGTGTTCAAGGCAACTTGAAGGTAAATGAACAAATATTTTTTGTTCTTTAGGACAGAAACTGTGGGAGGAGATTCATATTAGTCTGTTGTGTCAACAATCTTTTTCCACGAACACATTGTATTAAAAGGTTGTGCATCTGATAAAGTGAGCTGCATGTTTTATTGATAGTATTTAAAAGTTGGAAAAGGTGACTCCTGATTATAAGTTAGCAAGAATACTGGTGGAATGCATTACTATCGAAGAAAGGGGTATTGTTGGCTTGCCTTTTCCTTTTCTATCAAATTTGCATTAGTAATTTCTATCTCAATGCTTTTGTAGGTACCGTATATGCCGGCGTATTAGGCGACCTGGCGTATAAGACGACCCCCGTCTTTATAGCTGGGCCGCATTCCTAGAACGTCGTCTTATACGCCGGAAACTACCAGTATTTCTGGCATATAAGACGACTTGGCGTATAAGATGACCCCCGTCTTTGGCGCCGATTTCAGCGCTCGCGGAAGTCGTCTTATACGCCGGCATTTACGGTAGATGGATTTGCAATGTAAAAATAGTGGCGTCAAAATTTGGCTGATTAATTCATTACTTTTCTAAAATTTTGAATTGGATGCTTGAATTCACCCTGCATTAAATGTCTTACATGTCTTCATCCTGCTCACAAATGCAGAACATGACATGTTATAACATAGACATTAAGAACATATTAATACCATGTCTACAGTTCAGATCATGCATGCCTACATTCAAATCTACTGGATTTCACTTCCATTAAGTCAAAACTAGAAAAATATACTTGGACGCATATTACCAATAAGTGCTTAGTAGAATCTCTAGTTTTTTAAAAATACCTGTATAGGTGTTTTTTTTTTCAGTATATTGAACTCTAGATCAGTGGTTCTCAACCTGTGGGTCGGGACCCCATTTGGGGTCGAACGACCATTTCATGGGGGTCTCCAATCAACACAGTCCACCATTTTTTTCCCCTTTTCCTTAGCTGTGCTACTCCCTTTTATTCTATTGGCTTTTGAAAGCCAATAGAATAGACTCTCTTGAATAGAACCTAATTCTATTGGCTTTCAAAAGCCAATAGGAATTGTCCAGGCTGTCTCTGCCCTGCTGAGCCCGCCAAAAGTCCCATTCTGCAAACGGTGCTGCACCAGTTGAGTAGTCCTCAACTTATGACCGGTTGAGTAGTCCTCAACTTACGACCAGTTGTGGGTTCGCAGCATTAAAAAGGTTGAGAACCACTGCTCTAGATAATGTAGCAGGGCTACAAAACTGCATTGTGCCCTTTGTCAATTTTCTTGATCAGTAGCATTATGCTGCTAATTTTTCATTCACTGCACTTGAATTGTTAAATTCTTTGTCTAAAGGCCAGCTTATATAATTGTGTATCTCTGACTTCTGACATTTCCAATAGTGGGTAGGAGCTCAGATAGTTCTGTCAAAGGATGCCAGGCTTTCAGCAGTGATGTCATCTTTAAAAATGCCACATTCCCTGAAGCCTTCACTCCCACGGGAATAATTTGGAAATATGCAAGTGGCCTGGGATGAAGGGGAAGACTTCTTTTTCCATCTTTTTCTTTCCTTTTTTTTGTAGTTTTTCTGTATTAAGTAGTTTTATTACTTTTATCTGTTTAGCATAATCTTTAGTAAAATTATTGGGGGGAAAACTTTTCATCCAATATGAATCATGATTCTTTTTTTTAATCAGTGAGAGTTATTTGGATACAGATTCCTTCAGATTTCATTTATAACCAACAAGAAATCATGAAAAAACAGCACCCTAAAATTTGGATTTTTTCCTTGTGAGCCCATCATTGAAAAAAGATGAGCTTCATTTCATATAAAATTATTCCCATTCCCAACCATATGTACTGAAATATGGTTTCAGTAAAGCTTCTAAAGAAACTGAAATCTAGATTAGAATCATTGGACATGTTGATTCCATTTGCAGCTAGCTGTACTGCCAATACATTATTCTTCCCATAGCAAAACACATGTTCAGCAGCACTAATGTTATGGTTATAATGAACTCAAAATAATGTTTAATGATATTACCATCTGTTAATTAAATGAACTGCCAGGTATAAAATCTGAAAAGTTATGGTCTTCTCTTTCTGATTTTGAAAAGATTTATAAAACATTGTGTGGATCTCAGTTTCTCAAATGCATGCTGAGTATTCTGTAAATTTGTTGCTGCCTAATATATGTTTTACTCTCAAACACTTTGAGATGATCATAGCTCAGAGTAGAATAGAGTAGAACAATTCAGCACCTAGGTTTAGAGTCAGCCCTCCCAAAAGGATTTCTATCTGTCTGTCTGTCTATCTATCTATCTATCTAATTTATTGGCCACACATTTTGCTACAGGGTATCTGAGAGGTCAATGATTATTATGTATATGATAATATACATAACTCTGCCCAAGGCTTGAGATAGAATAGATCTTTGAATTAATAGTTTCTTAACTATTTTTGAGATGGTATAGTTCTGTGGTCTATAACTAAATTTCCTGGAAAGCCACTGTTATGTCCTGAGCCTTGCAAGCGGGCTCGGGGCGTTGCAGGAGGTCCCGGGCAGGTGCAAGTTGCCCGGGACCAGACAGGCTGTCGCCAGTGCTTGTGCGCATGCGCAAGTGCTGGCGCGTGAAAAGTAACACATTGACCCGGGAAAGTCCTATAAAAGGAGGCTGCGAGGTGTGGGCTTTTGCCGCCATATTCCAGTGTAAGCTGAACTGAAGAATAAAGGTTTCCTGAGAACTACAACTGCTTCTCGTGTCTTACCATTTCGCGACGGACTCAACAGCCACAGTAGACAAAACAGGAACTAAAATGGACACATAGCCCTTCCATTCTAAAGCATACTCATTCATTCAATCAATCAATCATCTAGCCAGCTGTCCATCTCATCTGTGTAATGACAATATTTAAAGTAAAAGTTAACACAGTTACAATCACAACTACAACAAATAAAAATATACAACAGTTAAGAGAATTCAACAATCACTAACACAACCAGGAAACTGTTATCACTGATATTTTTTGGATTAATCATTCTGCTAAGCTATGATTTTTTAAAATTATACCTTACTGAGTATGCTGTAATTGTCCAAGTTCCTGTGAAACAGTGGTGGTGTTCACACAGCATACCAAACTGAACAAAATAAGATGCTATTTCTTCTGGGCCTCAGAAATTAGAGGGGAAAACCAGATTATTTCAGACTAGCCTAATTCCAGGACTATCTTTTTCACATAAAATCAAACCATGTCCTCTCTGGGATGTACTTCAAATCCATATTTTATGCAAGTTTAGTGGGATAGTGCCCAGAGGCAATGATTTTCTATGGTGGCCCACACCTATGTAATAGCTTCTCCCCTGAAATTAGATGACCACCATCACTGGCGATTTTCAGAAGATGGTTAAGACTGAAGTCTTTTCTTAGGTCTTTGAGAAACATTATGCTAAGTGTTTCTTCCTCCCTTATTTTTATTTCTGCTGTAAAGTTATTGGTAGTATCCTTAGTTGTTCATAGTTGTAAACACCTGGGAGTATTTGCTGATTGAGCAGTATATGAGCCAAATTAGCAAATTAAATATTCTCTGGATAAGTGTTTCTCAATTTCAGCAACTTGTGCGTAGATCTATAAGATGTATACATTTCAGTTCCCAGAATTTCCCCAGGCTGTTTAGCTTCCAAGTTCAGACAGAATCAGACAGAGGCTGCCACTTGCTATAAAATATTTAACATGGATGTTCTCAAATTAGCTTTGCCTGTATTGTGATAGATCTAAATCTAGAACTATTTAGAGCTGAGGAGTCATTCTATACCTTAACAGGTCCACCATTCCCCTATTTACATAAAAATGGAATAAAATATTTAATGATGGTAATTGTTCATGTAATCCAAAATTGGGATAAAGTATTAATGAATGAAATCTTGGTTCTTTTAGAAACAGACACCACATTGCTTCTTTATGAGGCACTAGCTATCTCTGACACTAAAAATGCAGGTTGAAAGCAACAGATTTAATTATTCAGGAAGTAAAAAAAACATGAATTCAAGAGTTGGGGGTTTGAACTATACAAATTAAGTGGGGTTTATGTTTTAATTAATGCTTCTTGTTTTTCTCATTGCATCACAAACTATTTTCCACACTGCACAATATTCTGTATTGTTTGGCTGTATATCTATTTCTTACCAGGACGAGTCTGGTCAAGTTTTACTTGTCAGACATTTTCATTGAAGTGTGAGCTTTGATACAAGCTACCTTTGGCAGCTGCTGGCTATATTAGAAAAATAAAAATTGATTTCTGAGTACTACAGAGGGTGTGGCAGTGAAATGCAAAGATGACATTTAATTTGGGGGAATGATTAATGAAATAACATGATAAACCTAGCAGAGGCTCAGTATACATACTATTTCTCTCAATGAAAAAAATCAGTGTTGAATTACTGTGTTTTGCCTCCAAATTTTTAGCTGTGGCCCAAAGTAACCTTCCCTATTTTAGAAATCAGCATCAAGCACTTTTCTTTGGCTTTATTTAGGATTTCCCATTCACCTGTTAGGATTTGGAAATCTTGTTCATACTGTTGAAAAATATAAACTCTGACAACTTGAGTGAATACATTTTTGCCAAGTATTCTTCAAAGCCAAAACAGATCCGAAGTAGCCCTCCTACTACTGGGCAGTCCTTGGCAGCCAATTTCAGGGACTAGGAATAGTGCCTTAACCTGTGACAGCTGCAAAAAACAAAAATACATATCCTGTTGCTTTATGATGAATACAATTCTATATCATTATTTCTCACACTTCCATTTAGGATAAGGACCTGATTTGTATAGCATTTTAATACTGGAATGTTCACTATGTGGACACTCCACTTAAGCCCCATTTGCCTTTATCAATGTTAGCTGAAAGCATAGGATTCTGTGTAGGCCAATGTTTATCAACCTTAGTAATTTTAAGATGTGTGGACTTCAACTCCCAGAATTCCCTAGCTGGCATGATCTGATGTAGACATTAAGACTGCAAGAAGGGCTCATTCATACCAATCTATTTTTATAATTGGAAACAAGAAACTCACCCATTTTATTTATTTAATTAGAATGCTACAAAATTCTACATTTCCATATTTCCTGTGTGCCACTGAGCGTTTAATAGAGGTACTGAACTTTAATCACTGAATGCTTTCCACTATGTAAATCTCAGAGCTTCTGTCATTGAAGGCTCTTTCTCTAAGGTTTCGACAGTGTGGCTTTTTATAGTCTTATGTTCTACACCATTGCAAATTCTGTTCATCCTCATTACAGATTTTTCCTTCTGGATAGCATTTGACCAGAAAGATCTTTTGTTCTATGTCACAATCCATTTTGATTTATAACCTTGGCTGTTTATTCTAAGGTTCACCCTTGAGCCACCAAAAGAGCACATACCTGTAAGGGCTTATATCAAAATATGACCTCATTTGTCTCCCACAGGAAAATATGCAAGTCATGCAAATGCAGCCAGGAAGATCACAGCCTGAGTTCTGATGCAGAAGATGATCGGAAAATTGGCCGCTTGCTTGCTGATTCAAAATATTCTTCACTCACTGCTCGGGTAAAAGGAGGCGATGGAATCCGCATCTATAAAAGGAACCGCATGATTATCACTAATCCTATAGTATCTCGGAAAGATCCAACTTTTGACACTGTTACGTATGAATGGGCTCCACCTGGATTGACTCAGAAACTGGTAAGAAAATGTGCCCAAGGCTGGGAAGAGAATGTGAGGCCTTTCAGATAGAGTAAAGGGTTAGTAAAGAACAAGGCTGCATAGCCACTAGGCAGTCCATACACTTCAAAGAGATGGTGCCAGAAGGCAGATAGGGAGTTACTGCTCTCTGTCATCAAAGAGCTCCCTGCATTTTTCTGTTTCTCCACCAAATTTGGGAAGGCCACAAAAAAGAAAAGCTAACATTGGCTCTGCCTTTCCCAACAGGCTAAATTTGTATGGTTGATGAAGTTTCGTTCACATGACATCCTTAACCAGCTAAACCAAGTCAAACTGAATGCCTAGCAGCTGCACTTGTGCTATATGCTAAACCTTAGTTCCTTTTCTTCTTTTTCCTTAGTTCCTTTTGCTTGGAATGTTAAGTGAATCCAGCTTGCTTCATTAAGATCCAGTATATTATACAAGCCTAGGAATTGGGTTAATTCAATAACCAAGCTAAATTTGTTATGCAAACATGGCCATTTTGGAAGAAAAATGGTATTTAGTATCATATAATTAGGACTTTTCAAAGACCCAAATATGTTTGCATTGAAATTAAATAGTTTTTCCAAAGGAATGCATTATTAATATCACTAAAGCCAAGTAAAACCAAACATATTTCAGTGTGGTAAATATCCCTATTCTTTAGGAAAGCTTCTTTAGACAATATAAACTTACAGTAAAATAAACTTGTTATTGAAGAATAAAAAAGTAAAAATAGTTGGCAACATAGTTTTCTGAAGAAAAATGATTCATGCAGATTGTTCACCTGTTTGAAAACACCAATTAATGTGTTTAGTTACAGAGTTATATTTATATGAAAACTGAAGTCAGTGGTTTATTTTTTATTTATTTTCTTCAAACACAAACACTAAAAAGCACAAAAACTCTTTTTCCTCCACTTTCACACAAATAAGTTGAACCATAGATTTTACAATCTCATCCTTGTGTCCATGCAAATTAAGTCTGAACTTGCCCTTACATCTGCCTAAAGTCTTCCTAAGGACCTGAAAGAGGGATTATATTACACATCATATTGTGCTGACTAGATTAAATAACTCTAAAATGGCAGTACTTGGCCTTTATTATTACAAAGCCCATTGTGCTCACAGTAAGCAGCAGTAGACTGGAACAAAGATAAACATCTACTGCAGTGATATCTAGTAACCAGTGCCTTGTAATTTGTAGAACAAAGAAAATGCTTTGTATTATATTTACAGTCTGTAAATTAGACAGCACAGTGCAAGCCTGGTCACCTTTATGCCTTTATGAGAATTATACCCACAAAATGGAAATTATGCTAAGGCTGATAACTTTTCTCCCAATTATTATTATTAAAGTGCAATACCTGCCAGTTTAGCTATAGAACTATGCTTACTAAATTCCAATGCCTCTTTCCATTGCCTCCATCTTTATGTTATATCTTTGTAGCATTTTATATTAATATTATTATATTAAATTGGGCACTATAGGAAGATACTTGTGACTGATTCTTGTTTCTTACAAGGAGAAGCTGGTACACCTAGGTCAGGGGTAGGCAACCTAGGCTATTTTATGACTCATGGACTTCAACTCCCAGAATTCCTGAGCCAGCATGGCTCAGCTTGGAAACCTCTCCCTTTCCCTCAGCATGGCCGGCTCAGGAATTCTGGGAGTTGAAGTCCACAAGTCATAAAAGCACCAAGGTTGCCTACCCCTGACCTAGGTGAATACCATTTCAAAGCAGGTCTATTGGACCATTCAGGACTCCTTATCAAACAGCTTCTTTAAGCAATAAAAAATGAAGTCTAAAATCCAAATCTAGCAAACTACATGGATTGGCCTACTTTAAATTTATTTTGGATTTCAAAATGTCCTATCTCAAAGGATAAGGAACAGTGGGAACTTAGCTTCCTTGGGCTCTTAAGACCTGTGGTCTTTATGATTTTTGCTTGAATGAACAATATGATTTAGAACTAAAGCATGATATTTTGTTTAGTCATCAATTTGAGATCAGGGGACACAATTTATCCATGACCAGTTTTCTTATGTGGGTAAAATAGTATCAATGTAGTACCAATGTAGTGAGATGGCAATCACTGAACAACACCTTATATAAGAAAGATTATTCTAGAGTTGCTTTGGATGACCTTATAAAATTACAGCTCATCTCAACTCTGCATGTTCATTGTCACTGGAAAGGAATGAAACTGGGATTCTTGAGATATCTGTCAGCCTCTGGTAGCATGTCCTCATCCCAAGTATTTCCACTACACTTGGGGAGGGAAAAGGATGTGATTGCATTGTGAAATTCGACCAAGATTTAACTAATGTAATTGGGGGGGGGCTCTGTACTACATGAAATAAGTTGAAATATATGAATATTAAGTCATTTGACAATACTGTAGAACATTCATAATTGCCTTATTACCTATTTAATAATATTGATCTTGCCTTGTTCACGCCATAGGTCATGAAACTATATGTACAATGTTGATACAAAACAACAGAAAACAATTCTTTGTACCTTGGAGTAATGATCTTAAATGCCTGTATACTTATTTGTGGGCATCCAATTTAAACAGAGTAGTGGTGATACAGTTAGAGACAATTGGAAAATTTAATGTAAGGCTTCAACTTTTGTTATCTACTGGCATAATTCTGGCGTGCATTTTCAAACCTGGTTATGTGTATTTCCTAAAAAGCATAAAATCTTGTGCCTGATTCAGAATAAAATTAAAAAACAAAATAGTTAATGTCCAGCACAAAAGCTGTCTGTTTACAATAATGAGACCCATGTCATTTAGCTACAAGGCTTTCTTTTGAAATTAAAAAGAGAATATTTAGAATTCATTTGAAACTGGTCTATATAAACTACTGCAACAGTCACTTTTCAGAATGCTATATTGGCCACTACAGAGTGCCAAGGCAGCATTACATATCTGTTACATATTCAATTACTGCTTTGTTTCTTTTCTTTCTTTCTGGTAGCAAACAAATGTTTTTCAAATTCTATAGGTTGCTGCCTTTATATTTCTTGGTGTTCTCCTATCCTTTTACTAATCAGACCTGACCACCTTAGTTTTCATTCTTCACTACCAAGCCTAAATTCAATCTTCCAGATGCAACTCACTTTCTGATCATTGGAACAGTGTATTCCCAGTAGCTGTTGGTGTGTTTTTTTAAAAGACTTCCATAAAGTTTCTGTATCTCTAGAATGCATTTCCATGCATCAGCATTTTGTGAGAATTTTAATTGTCTCATGTTTATTATAAACATTTTTCTCATATCTTTCTTCCCTTATAATAGTAGGTTCATTGTTGAATAGACTGATTTGGGGAGGGGATTGGTTTTTTATGTTGCAAATTTCATGTGAGTGAACTTCAACAATTAAGTAACAACTGCAGTTGTTATAGACATTCATGAAACTTTTCATTCTCAAGGCTTCATTGAATTACATAGCTATAGGTAATACTTCGTAAGAAGATAGCATACAGTAGTCTTGGTTCTTAACAGAGCAAGAAATAACATTTTTTTTTTAAATTTCATAGCAATGAAAAATGGAGGTGGGAGGAAGACAATTTTTTTCCCATTATTCCCAACTTGCTGTCTTTCAGTTATTTTGGATTTTTATTCTTGGCTTGGGAGCGTGAGAATTAACATCCAACTTGCTTGAAGATCATCAGACCGGGAAACTCTCTGTCTTCCATACCATCAAAGGGAAGCTTAACAGGACAAGTATTCCTTTCCATGTCATAAGTCAATTTACTAGAAATCCCTTTTTAATTATTAAGAGAGAAGCTGCCTTTTGCTACTGAGTGTTCTCCAGATTTGTTGGACCATGACTCTTATAAGTTCTGTCTCATAAATATTCTAGCTAGGAAATATGGGAATCTAGTTGAACATCTGGAAGGCACCAGGATGGGAAAGACTGCCCTAGGTAGTAATTAATATATGTATAAGGAAGGCAGTATTGAGAATGTAAACACAAAATAAACAGGCATAAATTAGGAAACAAAGGTTGCATTTATAAAAATTAATGTCTAAATGACAGGGACATTAAAACAAATAACCCAAAAAGTGACTAAAATAGTTTACTTTTCAGGTATCATTTTTGCCTTTTTGTCATTCTTGTCTACAACCTTTCAGTGAAAGATATTGTTTAATGAATTAGTATAGCAGAAGAAATTTGTTTTTACCATAGAATGATTTTACAACCTATAAAGTAGTTCTTGGTTTGAGTATCTAGCAAAGCAGTGCAATATGAGTATATTCAAAAGTAAATCCTATATTTTATGGTGCACAAAGTCAACTAAATCTGTGTAGGAATTCAGCCTACAGCACATAGATTTAAAGGTAATAAATCAGTGTTAGAATACATTTGCAAGTATATTTGCAAGTATAATACTTGGAAATAGAAATCTGTACAAGTTCTGTAATATATTGTGCAGCCAAAGCGAAAGTGACAAGAGTAGATAAACTATAAGGTTTCTGTATGAACTGTGTTACAAGTCAAGTAATTGATATTCCAAGCTGAAGAAAAATATGTTCAATAAAAGAGAACTGTTTGTTCATGCATGAGGAAGCCAACGTTTAAGAAGAAAAATATGTTTTATGTTCCATATTTTCAGTAGGATTCAAGTGCGATGCAAGTTAGTATAAAAATCAACAGACTTGCACATCCCTTTTCCAAGTTGTAGCTACTGTACTTGGATCAAATAATTGGTCTTAGGAGTTATAATATGTTGTTTTTGTCATATAGCCCAGGGTTTTTCAAATTGTTTCATGGAATTCTGAATAGTACAAGAACTTGATGGGATTCTATGAGAAACTGAGAGCAAACGTTTAAAAAGTTTACTCAAACCTTTCCAATTTTCAATTGCTAAAGTTTTGTCTCTTCATGAGGCAATTCAGGAATTTTTGTCTTTTTGCTAAAAGATTCCATGGCTTGAAAAAAGTGTGAAAAATTTTGGTTTAGCCTATTAATAGTTGATTACATAGAA